TATATTACGGAGGGTCTCGCGCATACGATTGAGATATTGTAATTTTACTAAAACTTTACGCATTTCAGCTTTCCCCCTGTGCGTAATGAGGTTCTCATTAGTAAGTTTTTAGGCGCTTGTCGTAAGAGGGAAGTTTTCGGGTGTGAATTTCTATTACTTTGTACCGGAAACGTTAGCAAAAGTTGTTCGATCCTTTTAAGAACCTTAATTCGTCCACCATGTCCTCTTTTCAACACCCTTAATATTCTTATTTGTGAAAGTTCGTTTTATGGTGTGCATTTGTGAGATTTTTATTGTTTAGGGTTTACCAAAGTGTCTGATTGAAATACTCAGAGGCGGACTGGCAACCCTAAAGCGGCCCGGGGCAAAATATTTACCGACCAATTTCGTGTGACTTGTTTCGCGGGTATACAAATAATACCCTTAATAGTGCAAATGGTCATAAAGAATGAAACCAATGTTATACAATATTATATACCGATTTGAAATCAGGATATACGGGGCTACTCAAAACTATCAAAATATACAAGGTGTCCCATTAAAGATATTAAATATGTATTTTGTTGGACACTCCCTGTATATTGAATTCGATCAGTTACCCTATTTTTAGCTGAATTAATGAAAATAATTGGGTGTCAAAATATACGGAGAACCACTGTAGACGTTAATCTTATACCTTCGCAGTCCACAAATAACACATGTATTTAATTCTCCGTCAGGAATTAAACCATGCTAAATGAATTAATAATGATAGGAGAAAAGGCAAGATGTACCAAAAAGGCTAGGGACTCCACCAAAGTGGAGTAGCTCGGCGGAATGTGCGGTTTTATGTGGCCTATTGTTAAATATACCAAGTGATTCATTAGAAGTGATGATCGCTTGAATTTCGCTCGTAAGATTCTAGTATTTTGCATTACTAAATTGATGGTTTGAATTTCGTTAGTAATTTTGTTCTGTCATAACTCTCATTTAAGAAACCAGTGTCTCCGTTAATTGTTGTGTGCCATTTCCGGTGGTTCATTACTTATTCCATTTTGAACAATTTTTACAGTCGATGCACTAAAATATGGAAGAAACGTGACTGTATCTACCTAGTGCTAATTTATAATTTGTGGTAAAACAGAAGCAGTATTTGTAGATTATAAATAAGTAAACAATTTACTGAATGCATGATGATACACCAACTGCAATTATATAAATGATCATAGGTTAGTACCAACTTCAAAATTTTTTTGATTTGCGGGAAATTCAAATGATCATCACTTCTAAAGAATCACCCGTTGGTTTTTAAGTATAAGTATGCTATGCGTAAAAGTTCCGACACATGCTTCTTACTAAGATAGTAAGGGAGGTATTGCAATAGGGTAAAAATCACCTTTTTGACGGAAATTGCCTGTAGGTCTGTCTGTCAGTACTTCCATTTCCGGCTGAACTGATTGGCTCAGTTGTAGAGGAAATTGGAACAGCAGGTAGATTACCTAAATAAACTTGTGCATATCTTGAAACCTGCGATTATAAGGAGGATTGTATAATAAAAATCGTGATTAACTGTATGTTATGGTCACAAACTTTATTAAAAGTATTCATTTCTTAAAAACGTCCATAATTTCCCAATTAAAAATTCGACTTATTTTCGAAAAGCTAAATGGACGGTACCTATTATCATATTTTGCCCGATTTTTACAAACACTCACATTGCCTGTAATAAAAAAACCAGAAATACTCTGTGAGACATCCTACATCAACGATCTAGCTTAATGTAGAAATGCTACGACATAAAAAATTTAAAAAAATTCTGAATCGGTTGGGAATCGAACCCCAGCCGCCCGCGGGGCAGCTGACGTCGTTTAGACGACATTACTAGAAATACCTGCCCCTATGGACGCAGTTAGGCGAAATGTAGAAATGCTAAATAATATATAAAATTTAAAAAAATCTGCATGGATCGGGAATCGAACTGGGGCCTCCCGCGTGGTAGCTACAACGATTAGAGTTAGACGACGGCGACGACTAGCATCAGAGAACTAATGACAGAAACTGTTAAATCAACTTACCAACTGTCAAATTAAAAATTATCAAATTAAAACGTGATAGGTGTAGGGTATTTTACAACCAATCTTCAACATATGTTCTGAAACGACAGTTCTTAATACATAAGTTTTCAAAGAATTTAAAATGTGCCCATTGTCATAATATCAAGGACTACTATACCCGGCACGTAAGAAGGCGAAATATCACGTATATTCATATTTTAATGATTGCACATATTGGTGCGCCACAGAGCCAGTTGGATCCTCCTGCAGACTCTAATTAGTCATCTGCGCATAGTCCGCTTCTTACGTGTCGGTACCAGTACAAAATTAAGTACTTACGTTAACCCACAATACTTTCAAATATTTAAAATGTGCACAGTGTGATTTTGCAACACATCATCGCCATGTCCCGAAACGGCATTTCTTCTCACAAAACCTCGAAGGATTTAAAATGTGCACACTGCAATGGCATTATATGGAAATGTTAGGCAATGTCAAGGTAAATAGGTATATGCGAGGTTCTCCGGGATAGGCGATAAAACGTTCGTCGGGTCTGCTATTACCTAAATAAAAATGAATGTTTGTCTGTCTGTCTGTCTCTTATGCGTGTCTAAATCGTTCATCCGATTGCGGTGAAACGTTGGGGAATAGTTGGACGAATGCCCGCAGAAGTTTTTGAGTAAAATGCTATTCTAAATTCAGACGCAAACGGGAACACAAAAAAACAGGATTTTATGTTTTACAGTAGGAAAGAGACTTGAGATTTAGAACATAGGTTTCTTCGAAGGGGTGAAGGTGTACTCCGCAATAACGGCGAACACAGAAACGGGGTACGGGATTTCCCAAATGTCGTATGACTATTGGCAATAAATAAACCTAGTTTTTTCATTGGTTTAATTTTATTTTGGTAATCGTTAACCTTTTCCCAGTGGTTCCACTGAGGAAGGACAGCAAAGTGCGTCCGAAATATTTGGATTACCAAATAAAAATACTAAACGAAGTCTGACTTTTGAGCCTACTCACCCTACAAACTTTCACTTCAACACCACCTACGGCCGAAAGAAAAACCTTTTAATCAATAAACCTAGTGTTCCACATGTGCATACCAAATTTTAAGCGTTATCGAGTACACGTTTGCACTTACTGAAGTATTTATATTGCACACGCCCTCGGCCATTATTGCACAAAAATTGCACACATTACACAAATATTGCACACTTTACACAGTGATTTCATTCATGGCACATGCATTCCGCATATTGCACATGAATCGCACACACATTGCAATACTACCCGGCCACCTATTTTATACAGTGATTACCTACCCCCTTGCGTTCATCATATCCAAGGTGAGGATAATGTATAGAAGAGGCCCTAGAATAGATCCCTGAGGGACACCAAATACCGCCGGAGGGGTGTCAGAGGAATCGCCACCCAGCAGAACATATTGACTTCGGCTCGATATATAGTTTTTATTTAGTTTAAATATTTATGTCCCACCAAAAAAAAAGGCGGGGGTTAAGTATAGAACCCGTACGAATTGAGATCGCGAGCTGTTATTTTTGTTTGGAACACTGGAATAGAGATTCTTGATTGAACCGTCCGAGAAATCGTTCAATACACCTTCCAAGGGTGGCCTGATTTCCCCAGTCCCAATAACTATTGCAACTACGTCGGGGGAAAATTGTAGTAGAAACTGAGAGGTTCTGTCCCGTATGTATAACCGACGACGATGAACGCATTTTTGAGAGCTGGCAACCGCGCGACTTTTTAAGAGAAGGGGAAAGCCGCTGGTGGAGTCTGGAGAGCACGAATGGTTCTTACGTTACGGCGATCTTGGTTTGAGTTGTCGTTGAGAAAGGATCGTGTAGTGTAGGTTTGCAGTTTTTTGTGTTATTTAATGCCGAAGTAACCTTTAGATTTCTGTGCATGGAAAATTCTGCTTTTATGGTTTGAATTTTTTGTGTAGATAAATGTTTGCTCAATGCAAAATTGTATTTGGCCAATCGCTCAAATTTGTCGATAATTGTTCAATTGCGTCATGTTTGTATGGGCTTGTATGTAAACTAGCACTTTTCGGCGGTAAGAGACAATCCCAGGGAGGGGAATAGTAACCAAATTAGTTATGACGCTGGTACATTTCTAATCTCAACAGTAGCCTTGCATTTTTCGCACGAGGGACAAGTTACAAGTACAGGGGGTGGAACCCTGCTAATAAAAAAAATTTCGTTTTTTAATGGATTATTGAATCGCAACTCATATCGCAATTTGCACGTGCATGTAATAAAAGGGTTATTGCATCAGAGATGAGTCACATATTGTAGGTTTTGTGTTCGTGCTGCTGCTACTTTTAGGGGAATGGTCCTAGAGTCCTGCCATTTTTTGCAATAGGGAACCTATACCTTGAAAGTATGCCAAACGGCCATCAAATTTCGCTGCCTTAAAGGGGGGGGGGGCATGTATTATTTCCCGAGTTGCTATTGATGATGAGTGCATAATTTTTGCATGTAACAACCAATTGGTCTCACATTCTGCATACGCATGCTTTTAGTGGTGCCAAGTAAAACTCCTGAAAATAGGGGGGGGGGGGCGTTATTCTAAACAAAAGGAACACTTAGGTATCTACCAACTACCGCCCTCCTGTCTGACCCCTTGTTTTAAGAGGGGGTAGGGGGGACTGGTTTTATCCTTTGTGGTACTCTAATAAAAGGTTTCATTAATTTCTGACAATGCTATGACGATATACATCGATAAATATAGAGCAACCACAACATACTGTTACAGTTTTGGCATACCGACGCTCTTACGAGATCACCTGAAAATAACAGTAGTATTTATGTCCCACTAGCATTGTTTATGCAAAACCTATTGGGCGTCAACGTCTTGTTAGGGTAATCAAATGGGTGGCGAATAAAACAGTTTAGTTATAAACGAATGTTTATTATTCTTTTACCTTTATTACATGATTGGAAAATGATGTACATAAGGGCATTCAGTATTGAAATTAAACAAATAGACAACTTCAGAGTAACTAAAAGGGTTTGAGCTTAACGTATCGCGGTTACCTTTGTACTTTTTAAATTCTTTACATTTAAGCAACTTCTGAATGAAGAAATAACAAAGAAAATAAATAATATAACAAACGAGGCAACGAAAAGGACTTCTGCTTTATTTATGTACACCTTCTGTAGGAGAAATAAACTTATCCTACCGTAAATTGATATGTATGCGATAGTTTGTTTTCTGTTTCTCTCTAGATCTATTTAAGTGATATGTCCTCTTACCCTGTTCTATGCTTCTTTTTGAAACGTTTCTTGTTTTCACATGTATTTGCACTTGTTATTGCTCACTTTACATATAACTGTAAAACAAAGTAGAAAACTTCTTATGTACATATTAAAAATGTACAAACAAATAAAAACATAATATTGCCTAAAATATATATTGCACTTTTAAATAATTTCTTTATATACTACAAATAAATTGATATATCACTTGAGATCGTTTAGTTGTCGAAAATACTGTTCATTTCATCTTAATACTGCTGTGCTATGGGCCATCAATATTGACTATACAATGACTAGAACGTTGCTCACTTACTACATTTAGTATTTACACGTTTTGTTACTTTTTACATCGACTAGGAGACAGTTATGTGATTAAAATTGTATAAAAGTTGTACTAATTAGTATTTACAGAGGATTAATTAGCATCGATCGCACAAATTGAAGCAAAAAACGCTGAAATTTGGCGAACGCGCTTTTCTCTTAGAACTTAGGAAGTGATCACAATTTTATCATGTTATATTTTATATATAGTGCTTTGAGCAAAATAATGACGATGGAATGCAAAATGGTCCTTTCATTTAAAACTAATTTGTACACGTCCCCCACACATCATTTACAAAAGGCTTTCTAATTGATGGGAAATCCCGAAAAATTCACGTCATGTCAGTGTTGCGCGGCAAATTTCATTCTTTTCTGCTTTTGTCGTTGATTACAAAACCATACGCGCACCACATTCTTTTTTAAGTCTAACTTTTCGGCGATCGCCGCGATTTTTTCTCCGGAAGGTCGCGGCTGCACCGCGAAGTACGCCTCCAGGCTTCGCTTTTCGGGCGCCGCTATCGACGTTCGTTTCCTCTTCTTTTCTCCGGCTGGAAGCACACTGGGAGCGTCCGGATCTCTTCGCTTGTTCTTCGCCTGCGCCTCCGCCTCCTCCAGCCACGCTTGCAGGATCGGCTTTAACGCTATCATGTTGTTATGCGATAACGTCAGCGATTCGAAGCGACAAATCGTCGACTGCGATAACGCACCGACACCCGGTAACTTTAAATTAGCTAACGCCTTCCCAACGTCCGCCTGCGTCACACCTAACTTTATTCTTCTTTGTTTAAACCTTTCCGCGAACGCCTCTAACTCCCTAGGGTCCGTGTCTGCGTCGGGATGCAAGCCCGCGACCGCCGCCGCGGCGGCAGCCATTGCAGGATGATGGGGTCCGGGATGACCGGTGTGATGACCCGGATGGTGACCTGGTCCGCCGTGGCCGGAAAGTGGGCCGCCGTGGTGATGGTGGTGATTCATTACGTGGTTCATGCCGTACGAATGCATGTGGGTTGGAGTTTCGGACATCGGGGTTAACGTTGTCATCGATGAGGTGGATATAGGGTCGAGCATCTCTAATCCATCCATGTGCCCCATCTATAAAAAATTTACGATATAGTTGAGAGATTTATAAAATATAAGTTCATAATAGTAGCGTACGTGCTGGGTACAAACGTTTCTATCTAAATTGTTTTTGAGTCATTTTTATTGGTTTTATATCAAGAAATTCAAGGCAGTTTTCAACCAATCCTATCTATACTAATTTAAAAAATTAAAAGAATAAAAAAAACAGTTTTCGTCAATAGAAGACCACAGAATCAAAAATAAAATTTTCGGTGAAATGTCCCCACGGGCATGTAAACGACCTTTTGGTTTCATTTTGTGCATGGTTTAGCTTTATAGTTTTTCTTCTTTACATGTTACAAGTTTTGAAACGTACTTTCAAATATCTTCTGAAACTTAAAAACCTAAAAAATTGTAACGTTATTTTCTTACCAAATGATATTACCGATTTATAATTCCGCTTAAGTGACTATTTGAATTGAACTCTTATTTACAGTCTATGTTCTTTGTTTCGCCGACCGAGGTCGAGCAGTGTTTGCCATGGTATTTTTGGTTATCCTTCCTTTTTATCCTTATTTATCTTGCTCGCACAGTTGTATTTTTTTACCCCTTAGTGTTGGTTCTGCTTTCGCATTGATTAGATGCAAATGTTTTCTTTTTGTTTTTTTTTTTTTGGTTGATATTAGTACCGTTGTTTTACGCCCGAAACCGATATCTACAATTTTTTGTTACGTTGTTCGTTTACTTCGAAAAATTTGCTCATATTAGCTTTGTTTACATTTTGAATTAATTAGATTGGATTGCTTTTAACTCGTGGTTAATCCAAATTTTGTTTTTGCTAGAGTACAGTTATTCGAATTATTGATTCTATTTTAATAGCCCGATTGCTTCCCTGTCAGACGTTAGACATTTCTTACGCAATATTTTATGTGCAGCGCGATTCATTATCCCTTTTATTTGTTGGTTGTGTTATTGTCTGTTACAGATTTGCAGAACGCGCCCTTCTGATTTCAGACGGCCACTACGACCAGAATTCAAAGGTAAATTTTGTTATTTTCAAGGACCGTTTGATTTAACATTTGATTATATACTGGTTTTCAATACAATCGAATTGCATATATTACATTGTTGATATTCACTTAATCATTATAACTCCGTTGTTTTCCGCGGAAATCTATTTTGATATTAATCTTTTTTTTGATGTTTTTGTGTTGATCCCTCTTTTATTAATTTGAATTCAAATAATTTATATTCAAATATTATATATATCCCCCCCCCCCCATTTTTGGTAAGCGTTCCCCCCTCTTTTGACATTGAGAGTGCATTAAATTCCAATAACTGGAAAAAAGGTTATACGTCGGGTAAGTACAGAGATTTCATTGTTGAACGCTTTGCCTTGCTTTTATTCGCACTAATCCATGGAACTAACACTCGCATAAGTATCTTTTTTTTCTTTAGTCAATTTCAAATGAATAATGTGTCATTTTTTTAAGAGCAACATTGCCGATTTGGCAAACTAACGCTATTAAAGTATTCTTCCGATTTTGAAAAAATTTAAGATAATTATGTTGAATTGAAATTAAGTTAAATGAGATTCTGAGTGCAGAAAAACCCTTTTAGCATCTTAACTCCTGAAGTACTTATTCGTGGGGGAAAATTCCAGATTACGACCTTGCTCTGCAAAACAAGTTACGCAACTGGAAAGTCTCAAGTCACGACCTTGTAACGTCATACAAAGTGGTAGAGATGAGACCGAACTTCAGAAAGATCATTTTTGTACGAAAAGACGTAAAAATTTTTTCTTTTTGCTGCCATATTAAATCGTAATATAACTAATAAATGGCGCAAAAGCGAGGTCTACTACGACTCTACGATAGGCAAAAAATAGACAGTCATAGACAGTATGCCCCCAAAGGGGGCTGATGTAGTAAAACACCTTCCGAAATTCCCACGGAAACGGGAACAGGAAAAACAAGATTTTATGTTTTACAGTCGAAAAAAGACTTGACATTTAGAACGAGGTACGGGAAAAAACGGGATTTTCCAAAGGCGGTACGAAGTTCGCCGAGACTACTAGTTACGGATAACAAAGGATATAAAAATTGGAGCACTATGTATTTTTATCCTGATCGTTTTATGCTGTTTAGTTAAGTGCGTATTAATTATTTCTGATTCACTGCATTTATTGTTTGAGATTCGCTGGCATATCTAAATTTTAACTGTCATTGTGTTATGGCGTCACCTGTCGGTGGATTTTTTCACACAGGCACTCCAGGCTTTTCGGGACGTTAAGTAGTGTAGGGTGAAAAAGGTTCTTAATCTATAATTTATTAAGGATCCTCAGATCCTTTATAGTTTTGTATTGTCGTCCGTCCGTCCGTGTGCGCTCTAACTCTTTTTAAAAGTGGCCGATTGTGTTGAAATTTGGTGTACGGGTACTTTGGACATTAAGGACGGACGCTATTGATTTTCAGGAAGCTGGTTCAACAGGAACAAAAGTTATAGGGCTTCGAGTGAATCGAGAACAGGAAAATCTGAGGGCTCAATATAATAGAAATCAACATATTTCATTCCCTAGGTCATGTATCGAGTTCGGACTTTCGCTATATTATTCCCTGACTCTTAAGATGTGTAATAATTCGATATAACTCTTCTCTGTGATATAGGTCAAAAGTTTTAGAGCAAAATGTACCCAAAATTATTCTTTACACATAAATTTGGAGTTGTAAAAGCTTTCAAACGCATTATCTTGATGCTGAAAGAGTACATCATCCACATTTGATAACCGCATGTGTGTGATTCAAAGATGTTAAATTATTTTTTTGAGGCCACATGGATTTTGACCAAAATATATCAAAATCGTTATTTATGCACCATGATCGTTGCGAAAAAGACTAGGGGCATTATCTCAATGCCCAAGACATGAATGTGATGCATTTTTGGCAACCACGTGGACTTTGATCAAACATGTCAAAATCGTTATTTATGCACCAAGATCGTTGGGAAAAAGACCAAGAGAATTATCTCAATGACCAAGACATGAATTTGATGCATTTTTGTGATTGTAATACTGAGGGTCCTTCGATATGTCGTTGTATCGGTTTATTATTCTGGCGATTGAACTTAATTTTGTGCATCGCCGATTCAGTTTAGACCTTTTGCGGAGGATATTTTCGGTTTCACTAATTACGGGAGTACGACCATTTTGTTTTATCCGCCTGGTTAATGTATGCATTCTTTTTGGGTTTTGCTATTGAAGTTGAACAGATCACGTGCCAGTCGTTGTTGTAATTTCATTGTTTTATAAGTAATCCTGTTATTGGTTTGAGGGTTAGAGGGGATAATGTTGTTACATGTTTTTTTTTTAATTTATAGTGCAAGCTATAGTGTCAGTTTTGGGTTCGAGTTTAAATTTTTGTTCCATGTACTCTTACATTGCGATGTTTCTTATCAAGACCTGCAGATCAGATAGCGACCATTTTGTTTGGAGGTTAATCTCGATCTTTGGACATAGAACGGAACTAGGGCAGTGGGTCAAACTGAATAAACTGCTAGAATTAAAAAGAGTCGTAATTCTTGGATAACTTCCTCTTCAAGGAATCTGATAGCGATTACTTACGTAGGTATTTAGATCATTGTTTAATTGCAATTCATAATTGGGTCACCTCTTTTTTAATTTTTGATTTGAATTGGTGCTGAATAAAAATATATCAATATTTCTTTATGGATTTTATTGGTACTTCGCCAGTATCTTCCCAGTTTTATTCAGGGCGAGTTAAAAATTTAAAGAAGCTGGGTGGTGCTCAACTCTGTGGTAAGTAGCAAGGACCTTACGAGATTTATGCCCAACAGAAATGAAGAATTTCACGACTTTTTTCTTTTACAGCTCCGAGCTAGCTAACCGTTTATGCGGCGGGTTTGAGTTAATGCAGCGCCATCTTAACCTACCGTTATAAAATATTCAAATTTGTTCTGCTCTGGTACTAATGCTGGGATATTTTATGCGACATCGTTATGGATATTCCTAATTGTGAGATCAAATTAATACGCGATTTTTCAAAGTGAAGATTCTGTATGTTTGCATACTCTTTCTTACTATTTCCGCTTCAAATCTGTTTCAAGCTTTAGACTTTAACTACAAAAGCAGCATTTCATAAGAACGTTTGGCTGTTTTTTTCAAATATGGCGGATTGACTATAATTAAAGAGGGGCCGTAATGCATTATTGGGTGTATGTACTTCGAAGATCTTGAAGGAATTAAGGTTCTTGGTATCTAAATTATTTCAATTCCATTGGTAACTGTGAATTCGTATCTTTGTAAAAGCTGAGAGTGTTATTTTCAATTTACCAACAAATTAACAGTAGGTAAACGAACATTAAAGAAAGAGCGTCCTTTTTTTTACAACTTATCCGTTGCGAATTTTGCTCCCCATTTACAACAATAAAGTAAATATAATATATCGAGTAGATCAGAAGGGGCCATATGCGATCACATTTCAAGTGAACCCTAATCCTCAACGGTGTGCTAAATTAGACCATGAAATTTTGGTATTATAACAAAAAGTCGTTTGATGCTATATTAACATGAGGGGTGTACGTATCGCATTTGCAGCTTTATGTCATATTAGTTATAGATATAATAAGGATCACGTCCACCCCACGCATCCTTTTTATTTTAGAAAGGCACTTATGCATTTTATTATACATATTTTTACATTCTCGTCATAAAGATGTATATCCATTATGCATTTTAATATTATGCATTTATTCGCTGTTATTGGCAAGTAATGCGCCTCTATCATAAATGCCTTTCGCCGTAGCTTTGTGGTTGCACTTGATATGAATGCGATCCTTTGAGATGCGTAACAAACGCACGTATGCTTCTTCAAGAACACATTTTAGTCGACTTTTCCAGAATCATTGGGTGGTCTGTGTCGATTTCATTTCCCCTCGCGTTGCACGCACTGATTTTTACCCTCTCCTGGTTCATATAATTTAAAAAGAAGTTTGTTAACGTACATTACTAAGACTAA